CATTAGAGTCAAAGAGGGGTCATAATTCTATATTCCATGATTGTTTCCTATTCTACCATCATAGATAAACGGATACTGCTCTGATATTAGCATTAATATCGAGATTACTCTAGTAAATCGTCGTTACACCAACAGTCATCATCTTCAACTAGACATATGGATATTAATTTGTTAACATTTCTTCTACCACCCCACCCCCCAACCCCACATGAAAGAAATCGGTTGAATATGTGGGCTACTGGGTAAACTTTGAAATTAAAATCAAAAGTACCAAGCGACTATCAGTAATGACGAAGATAATGTCGACGATGACGTAGATGTTGACGTTGTTGACAACTACTACAAAAAGCGTCGAATCAACTCTAATCTACCCTCTAGACTGGATGACCTGCTCTAATACGTCAGACTCGCTCCTACGTCACTCCTTTTCTGACTTGCATATATATACCGCAGTGATGTAGGAACAAGCCTGACGTCATTTAGAGCAGGTTGTCCAGTCTAATCTACCCCATTCTTTGTAAGTAAGAATCTATCATGTCATATAGATCTACGTGCCTAAAAAAAGTTTGTGTTTATTCAAACCAATTAACTTCTTTCAATCTGGTAAAATCAACGTGAAACTTATTCTTTACATTGATCTCATTTCGTCTAGAAACTCAAATCTCATTCCCATCCAAATTTGATCAACTTAAATAAACTTTATATTTGATCATTTCACCTCTGGCAGTGTTAAACATCAATAATGAAATGAGCAAATGTTGTCTCAGATTATTTTGGTATATTGTCGCTCAGTGGGTCAGAATTATTTGACCGTTTGGGTAAGATGGGTACCAAAATACCAAAGTCAAGTCTACTCAAAGATTCCTTCGCCATATTAAGAATATGGCTTGATTATTCTTTTTAAACTACGTAGACTGTTTTATTATGGCGGGGTATCGGGTTCAAAATGTGATCTTGAGTAGAAAATCAAAAGCAAAAGGGTATTTTAATGGTGGAAACCTATAATCTACGCATTTAATCTGCAAAACCATCAAGCTTTTCAACCTTTAGTCATCATAATTCTACTTTCATGGACCCAATTCTTGCTTCCTACTACCAACTTTCTGCTTTCTACAGTCAATTTTTGACTTCCGACTTTCTACTTCAGATTTTCTACTAACGATTTTCTAACACAGATTTTCTCCAATACTATGGTGGCTGATAGTGGCCATGTAATCCGACAGCACGACATCAGGTCTGTATTAGTGAAATCATACGACAAAATAGGCTAGGGTATTATTGCAAGATTGTTGTCGTAACGTGGTGTTATCATCGTCTTAGTGTAATGGAAAAAGTACATATTCTACAGAATTAAACTCTATACTCTCCGAAAAGGATTTAGTTGGAATCGTGAATGAATAACTAAAACTTTAACCAGCGGCTGCCAGGCAGGATACGCCCACATTTTCGAGAGATGGATAGAGAACAAGCTAAAAAGAAAGTGATTTTTCGTACAATCAGGGGCCATAATTCAGGAAGTTACGGTCCGATATGCGCGAATATCGAAAGGAACCGAGATCTTTGGGTTATAAACTTACATTTCAAGTTTCAACAAAATCGGATAAAAATTGTGACCTCTATAGCGTCCACAACCTTGATATACCATATTTTTACGCTATTTGAGAACGAAGGGCGGCCATTTTGTCTGTCAGTTTTGGACCGATTTTCACGAAATATCGAAAGGAACCGAGATCTTTGGGTTATAATCTTACATTTCAAGTTTCATCAAAATAGGATTAAAATTGTGACCTCTGGTCCACAACCTTGATATACCATATTTTTACGCTATTTGAGAACGAAGGGCGGCCATTTTGTCTGTCAGTTTTGGGCCGAGTCTCACGAAATTCGAACTCAACCGTCCTTAGGGTGTAACGGTGTTATAATAATACGTTTTTTTTTTAAATCGGATGAAAATGATGACCTCTATAGGGTTCAGAAGCTAAAAACGCGATTTTTCGTACAATCAGGGGCCATAATTCAGGAAGTTACGGTCCGATATGCGCGAATATCAAAAGGAACCACGATCTTTGGGTTATAAACTTACATTTTAAGTTTTAAAAAAATCGGATAAAAATTGTGACCTCTACAGTGTTCACAAGCTAAAAACGTGATTTTTCGTACAATCAGGGGCCATAATCCATGAAGTTACAGTCCGATACATGCCAATATCGAAAGGAACCGAGATCTTAGGGTGATAAACCTATATTTCAAGTTTCATTGAAATCGGATAAAAATTGTGACCTATAGACTGTTCACAAACAATTGTGGACGAACGGACAGGGGCGACAACAATATACGTCCACATGAAAATGTGGGCGTATAAAAATGATAACAGGAAGCGACTTCATCGGTGAAAATAGACCAATATTAGACATCAGAGGAAACCTTTTTGTGTTTCAACTAATTTGAATGCGGTTTTCGTCACTTTGTAGTTGTTCGTATTTCTCAATTTTTATGTCTGGCATTGTGGCCTCTATGACGCATGCGTATGGCTCAATTTTGAGATCAAATATGAAAAGAGTGAAAATTCTGGGCGTTACTTAAAAATATTTGTCAATAGACCGGAGGCTCAGCACGGGGGGGGGGGGGGGGTCCATCAAATGAGCACAAAACCAGACCCAACTTTTCTAGAGTAAAATTTTGCGTAGAATACGATGCCGAGTTGTAATCAGTCCGCCGTTGGGGCGTTTTCGAGATATTCGGGGTCTAAGGTCAAATGAGTTCATTTGCACTAAAAGTGAATGCCCAGTCATTCTTGTATTATGAAAAGAAGCTGAAAATTATCGAAAGTAATCACACTTTCAATAAAAATGTAAACTTGCTAAATTCACCTTTAGTCTTAGTGACACTGGAGGTCAAAAGGTAAAATTTACCGTTTTTGCAGTAGGAAGATTTAAAGCAATAAAATGTCAACGTAAAATATAAAAACTAAAGCAAAACCTGTTCTAATTATTAATAGGAACATTTAAAATTTATCTTTAGGGGGTCTTAGCACCGAACTTTTACTTTGGAACATTGAAAATGATCTTGCATAACAGAACCAACACACTTTGAAATCTGTTTCAAAAATACGTAAAAACTTTCAATTCGAAATCTCTCCGATTTAGTTTTACAACGAATGCTATGATACTAGTTGTCTGAAAAAAAACCCAATTGAACAGTTTCATGGATGTTAGCTGCGATGTTTATCAATTTCCATATTTTTTCTGTAAACGCAAGTGACAAAAGAGCGTATAATACCGACATCCAAACTCTCATTTTAACAACAACTAAACATGATATCAAGGCCGTATGTATCGAACTTTCAATAAATTGACTGACATGCGGCCTCGCTTCGTACACTCTATCATTTAGCCTCGATCTAAAATTTCCGGGAGTTTGACGTCAACGTAACGATTAATCTCCGCTTACGACGCCATTTAAAATTTTAATCAATCAATGAAATCCTGTTTAAATCCAAGCCGAATCCAAGCCATCCGTGGGTCTACACAAGGATACTTGCGCACTAAACTTATTAAAACCTTTAAAAAGTTTTATGGCCGTCATATTGATTTGATTGGTAAATATAACGTGTCTCTCTCGGCTATTATTCTAGATATATTTAACTGAACGTATACTATTACTATCTCCCTGATAATATCTACTACATCGTTAACACAGTTCATCGCGTGCATTTTGCATACCGATAGTTCATTGGCCAATCACGCTATTTTACCGACATTTCGCCTAATAGTTTGGATGCAGCTATGGCGGGTGTGGCGCCAGGCAGGGTAAGCTTACTCTTCCGGACACCTGTTACCACTGTTTGTCGTGTAATTTGTACACGAGGAGCAGTCCATTTGCTAATTACACTATTTTGCTTGAATACACTATTTTGCCTATAACGTTTTTTAGGACTTCGAATTCTGTCTTATGGTTTGGATTGTTCGTACTTGGTTTTATTTTATCTGAAGCCTAAATAAAGACTTGCAATAATCAGATTTAGCTCTTGCATAATGTATGTTTAACTGTAAACAGTCAATTATCTAAATAATTGTCAACTATTGTCAACTCACTCCTTGTATCAAAATTATATATCGGATTGTTAAACTGACCACCCTCTAAGTATTATCACTTTAACTTTCATCTTCATTTTTTGTCCAAATTGTCTACTTTAGATATCATCGTAGGTCTGCGATATTGTTATAATAACTTAACTATGACCGAAACATTCAATGTTTATGTATTATACCATTGCTTTAACTGTAAATAATTCACTGTTTTTGTGTATTTTGTATTTTTTCCTCTTTTTTCTTTGTCAAATGAACAAACGGACATGCTTGCTACAACAATTAATGATTATATGACTGAGACCCGTCCAACACACTTACACAATCCTTTGAATAGTAGTTATTTATACTACTGCTTGCTATTTTAATAGGGCTGATTGTGTGAGAAAGTGGTTAGATGGGTGTCATACATCGAACATATTATTGCTTTATATATGTATCTCCAAAGGCATGTTCTTGTATTCCTCGTTTATTTATCTATTTGATAATTTTTACATTCTCAAATCATTTCTAATAAAATCTGGCGATATAGAACTGAATCCCGGCCCCAACATTGGAAATATAGAACCACTATCGGTATTTCATCTTAATCCTCGAAGTATAAGAAACAAACTTGACCAAATATTCGAAACAGCAGACGATATTTATGTGTGTGGTTTTACTGAAACTCACTTAGACGACAAAATAAGTCATGAGAGTTTATTAAGAACTGGTTTCCACAGTCCCTTTCGAAGGGACAGAAATTCAAACGGAGGTGGTATTTTGTTTTATATTAACGAAACTTTATTGTGCAAAAGAAGGCACGATTAAGAAATTATATGGGTAGAAATCAAATTCAAACATAGGATCATCTTAATATAGCAACAGCATATACACCACCGAATGCTAACTATGAATTTTTGTCTCGTTTAGATACATCAATTGATACAGCGTACCAAACTACTGACTCTATAATAATTTTAGGCGATTTAAACATCGATCTGATCACTACAAAAAACAGTAAGTTACAGGATTTATTGTTATCAAACTCGTTAAGAAATGTTGTTTTAACTCAAACAACAGTTACGTCCTCAACATCTACTTTTTTAGACTTCATTTTAACTCCACTAGACCTAAACGTTTGCTTAAATGAAACTATAGATTTTGATAAGCATATTTCTGATCATAAAGTAACTATTTATAACCAAGCGAATTACGATAAACTCAACAATCTTATACATGTATATATATGATTTAATTCACTCAATTTAGATGATGCCTGTGAATTATTTTACGATACTTTAAATCAGATTATCAATGAATGCATTCCCAAATAAACGCGTTACAATTCGACCCTCTGACAAACCGTGGTTTAATTCTGAAATACGAAAAGCGATTAGAAAACGTGATAGCTTACGAAGAATTTTTATTCAAACAAAAAAACTGAAGGATTTGAATGGGTACAAGAAACAAAGAAATAAATTTATAAAGTTAACAATTAAAAAAAACAATTAAAATCTAAATGTTATGATCAACTTGTTTAAACTATCACCGATCGAGTGATTTCTGGTACTCAATGAAAAACTTATTAGGGCAAAATGTTAACCAGCGGTTGCCAGGCAGGATACACCCACATTTTGCAACAGATGGATAGAGAACAAGCTAAAAACAAACGCGATTTTTTGTACAATCAGGGGCAAAAATCCAGAAAGTTATGGCCTGAAATTTGCAAATATCAAAAGGGGCTGAGATCTTTGGGATATAAAGATATGTTTTAAGTTTCATCAAAATCGGATAAAAATTGTGACCTCTAGAGGGTTCCATAACCTTCGTATTATACACTTCTGCACAATTTGCATACAAAGAGCGGCCATTTTGTCGGGCAGTTTCATTTCGATATTCCCGAAATACGACTTAATCTTCATTATGGTGGAATGGTAATGTATTTAAACGGTTTTTAAAATCGGAAAAAATTGTGACCTCTAGAGAATCTGCAAGCTAAAAATGCGATTTTTCGAACAATCAGGGGCCATAATCTAGGAAGTTAAGTTCGGGTATCCGCGTTTATCAAAAGGAACCAAGATCTTAGTGTGTAATGGTGATATATTCACACGGTTTTTTTTTAAATCGGATAAAAATTGTGACCTCTACAGGGACCACAAGCTGAAAACGTGGTTTTTTGTTCAATCAAGGGCCATAATTCAGGAAGTTACGATCCGATATCGACAGGAACCAATATCTTTGGGTTTTAAACATGTATTTCAAGTTTCATCGAAATCGGATCAAAAGTGTGACCTCTAGAGGGTCCACAACTTTGATATACCAGATGTTTACACTATTTGCGTACGAGGGGCGGTCATTTTGTCTGGCAATTTTCGTCCGATTTTCATGAAACTCAACCTCAGACGAAATTACGGTGTAACGGTGATATATTCGAACGTTATTTTAAATCGGATAATAATTGTGACCTCTAGAGGACCCACAAGCTAAAAACGCGATTTTTCGTAAAATCAGGGGCCATAATTCGGGAAGTTACGATTCGATATGCACGAAAATAGAAAGGAACCAAGATATTTGGGTTATAAACATGCATTTCAAATTTCATCAAAATCAGATGACAACCCTGATACACAATATTTTGACACCATTTGCAAACGAGGGGCGGCCATTTTGTCCGTCAGTTGCGGTCCGATTTTTACGAAATTCAAACTCTACCATCCTTAGGGTGTAACGGTGATATATTCAAACGTTTTTTTTAAATCGGATAAAAATTGTGACCTCTATGGGGTCCACAAGCTAAAAATGCGATTTTTCGTACAACCAGGGGCCATAATTCAGGAAGTTATGGTTCGATAAGCGCGAATATCGAAAGAAACCGAGATCTGTGGGTTATAAACCTATATTTCAAGTTTCGTTGAAATCGGATAACAATTGTGACCTGTAGAGTGTTCACAAACAATTGTGGACGGACGGACGGACGGACAGACGGACAGGGGCGACGACAATATACGTCCACATGAAAATGTGGGCGTATAAAAATGTTATACCGACTTTAATATCAAAAACAGATGGCAAAGTTGCATACACTGACTGCGAAAAGGCCGAATTACTAAATTCGTTTTTTTATATCCGTATCCAATAATGAATCACTAAGCAACTCATTAGAATTTCGTTCCAAAACAAACACTAGATTTATAATGCCCGAGATACAAAATTCTGAAATATACTTTTAAGCGAAAAACATTAGAAATTATTTCACATCGTTCATAAGATCCGTACTTGAATACGCTTGTGAATTGTGGGATTGTTGTAATGTAAAAATTCAACTGGAGGCAGCTAGAATTATTACAGGACTCCCGAAATACTCAAGTAAAGAATCTTTATATTATGAAACTGGCTTAGTTAATTTATCAGAACGTCGCAGGATAAGAAGACTGTCTCTTTTTCACAAAATTATATATAACAATTATCCACACTATCTTACAGATAAATTAAACGAGCTTTACACGGCAAAGCATAATTATAACCTACGTAACAATGCTGATATCCCCGTTCCTTTTTGCAAATCCACATTATATCAAAAGTCATTTATCCCCCAAACAGTAAAAGACTGGAACAACTTACACGAATCTATAAAAACAATTCCTGATATTAAAAACTTTAAATCTAAATTAAATAGTACCAACAATGACAATGTAGCGCCCAGTTTTTTTTTCAAACTGGTAACAGAAACGAAAATATTATACATACTAGAATGCGTCACCAGTGTAGTTCTTTAAATTCAGACCTCCATAAAATTAAATTGGTTAATAGCCCTAGGTGTAAATGTGGATATCCAAATGAAAACGCAAACCATTTTATTTTACAGTGAAACAAATTTAATAGTGAAAGAGCAAAATTATTTGAATCCCTGACCTTTTTACCTACGATTAATGTGCACACCCTATTGTGCGGAGACAGCAATTTACCCAACCATCAAAAATTGTTCGAAAAAGTGTGTTCATATATAAAAGCAACTAAACGCTTTAAATGTTGTTTGTAAGCTGTGTTCATTTTCACCCTGTACATTTCTGTTTGTTTGTTTATTTGTCTGTTATTTATTATGTATATTAGATCTATATTTGTTACATCTCACAATTCTTCAAGGAAACTGCACTATTCCTATTTATACAATTTCTGAATATGGAAAGGACGTTTGTAAGTTTTAATAACTTTTGTCCAATCCAATTGTATCAAGAATTATTTTTGTTGATGCAATAAATATGTTTAACAGTTGGTTGACTAACTGTAGTAGTACTGTGGAAGGTTTGGGGAAAAGTTCAGGAATGGCGGTTTGCTTCTGTTTTGCATATTGACATGTAACCGGGCGACTTAGAGACTGGGTAACCGGAAATGCGAGCTCAGAAAGGATAAAAGCAGTGGGTACAACTTGATCAATTTCATCGTCTGTATCAGTTGAACTCCTTGATAACAAATCTGCAAAGACTAATTCAGTTCCCTTTTTATAGAAGATTTGGAATGAATATTGGAATAGTTTGACAATTAACTTAGTGACACGTTGAGAACACGGTTCTTTCTTGGAATACAGAAGTTGAACTATTGCAGAGTGGTAAACATAGGCAGTAAACTGGAAATTTATGATGTTTATGAGAAGAACTAACATTTCCTACTCGGCAAAACTTATATGACGGAGGTAACTTCTTAGTATAATAACCCGATATGCGCTCCTTTACGATTTATGTAATGTACAATCCAGTAGCTGACCGAGATGTATCGCTATAGAGACTCAAATGACCGTTTGCAATAGGGCGGTAGAAAACATGTGGGTTAGTAAGAATATAGTTTACATCTTGAAAAGCCTTTTCATGTCCGTCGGTCCATGAAAATGTAGATCTCTTGGAAGAAATCTGATGCAGGGGCAGAAAGTATGAGACATAGTTGGCGGTTCCTATAAACCTACGAACTTCTTTATTAGTTAGGACGAACAAGATGTTAAATAGCCCGCCAACGGTTTGCCAATCGCGTTAGGGTAATAAGTCCTTCGTTATTAATCTTAATTAAATGACCCTTGTACACGACTTGATTTCTGAAGAACGAACATTTACGAGGGGGAATCTTCAGCCCATAATCAATAAGTGCTTGAAAGACAGCCTGTAAGTGATTACTGTGTGACTGGTCATCCTTACTAAATACAATGGTATCGTTGTAATGAGCAATACATTAGTGACGACTGGCAGGTACTTCAGAGAGAGTCGGATCAATTTCTGCTTGAAAAATAGCAGGGGATACAATTAAGCCTTAAGTAAAAATGGCGACCTCCGTGATAGGAAGATATACCCGTGTATTGCTGAACATTGTGGGAAATGGGCAGCTGATAACTGCGTGCGCTTATTTAAGTGACGAAAGTCAACTACAACACGTTTATCTGTAGTTCCCGTTATAGGGAAAATTAAAACGGGAGAGGTGTATGATTGGTGGCCCTCAAAGATGATACCCAATTTTACTAATTTATCATTTATCGGCATGATAACCTCTTTATTGGACTCAGTGGTACGACATGGGCGAATATAAAATGGACGAGTGTCATTAACATTGATTTCAACTTCAATGGTGGTGGTGATAAAGGTTTTAGTCTTTCTGGTGGAAAATCTGCCATGAGAGTTTCACAGGGAGACTGTCTGAGCTTTCTACAGATGGTACAAGATTTGACGATAGATTTGACTACTTGACGACCATGAGCTATCCAAAATTTACGACGAACTTCAGCTAAGGTTCTTTCTACACCAGCGTGTTTCGCTTTCTGATGAACTTCTAAGATGATCAATTTAGTGATGTGATGATCTCTTGGCAATAAGACTGGATGACGCTGATCGTAGGAAAGAGACGTATGACGTAAACGTCCCCCTACTCTGATGATTTGATTTTCAACATAGGGACATAAATCTCTCAAGTTGAACTATTCGCATCCAATAATCTTCAGATTTGTTTGTTTCCTTAGGCGTTAAAGGGCCGTTGAGGTA